TAATAAGTTTCAAGCTCAGCATATAATCTTACCACATCATCTCACATGATCATTCCACTACATCATCCGTCCCGATCAACCCACCACATCAACCCTCCCGATCATCACACCATATCATCATACCACATCATTTTAACACATCGTCACACCACATCATTCCCACCACATAGAGTCTATTCCTACCAGAACATAACACCACACCATCAGACGACATCATCCGACCACATCATCCGACCACATCGTCCTACCACAACATCCCACCACATCATCCCTCCATTTCATTCCACTACTTCATCCTAAAACATCATCCCACCACATTATACCTACCACATGATCCAACCACATCATCCCTACCACATCATCTGCATTACTTCATCTCATATCTTTTACATTTCGTTCAAGTTTTGAAAGACTAAAGTGTCTGCGTAAGAATTATTCTGTGAATCCTTTAATGGTTATCCAGTCAAAGTGTCTCTAACGCAAGCGTTACATCACATACCTACTATTTGAACTGAATTAATGAAAGTTTATTTTCATAATCCACAAAAATCAGAGATCCGTGCCAATAGCTAAACAACATGCACAGCCGTATGCGGTGCCAAACGACAACTGCACTTCTTAAGACACCTTTGCTTGGTTCTTAATGCCACTAGAAATTAAAAAGGATGCAACAGAATACCCATATCACAACAGAATCCCCCATATCACAACAGAATACCCATATCACAACAGAATTCCCCCAAAAATCACAACAGAATCCCCCATATCACAAAAGAATCCCCCATGTCACAATAGAATCGCCCCATATCACAACAGAATCCCCAATATCACAACAGAATCCCCCATATCACAACAGAATCCCCCATATCACGTCTAGACTTTCAATTAAAAAAGGTGATTCCCAGTGAATCGTGGGAAGAATGCTGCAGACAACCAGTCGCCCACCCCCCACCACCCTAGGACACACGTAGGTGTTTAAACATTCATTTCAATATTGCCCCTCGTATAAATAAAATTCTATATCAACTAAAATAGCAAACATTATGTTTAAAGTATATAATTTAATTGTTTCAACTCCAAGCAGAAAAACGTATTAGAATTCCATGACTTCTATTGATAGCTATTGGGAATTTCCCCAATCCGTCCGTTTGGCTCGCTTCAGTAGGCAATAATTTATTTCTGTCGATACGTAAGATAAGTTTACTTCAGTAATATGCCAAATACAATTTGGTTCAAACGGTGAAATTTGTTTTGGTCCAGTTGGAGCGTAACTTCACTGAACGCATTTGAAACTTCCGTTTGACAGCCTCGGCGAAAGATCTTTTAAGACGTCTTCTTACATCTTTGCATGATTCATATGGATTAAAAAATACACAAACCATGGACGCGACGTTTATTTTCGGTGCTCAAAGAAAACGTAATCCCGTTGAACACAGAAATATAATTCCCTTCTAGATCTTCTTGTCTGGGATTTCCAAAAAAGTCTTACCGCCCACGCAATCCGTCTGAACTTTTGTGTTGTGTCCCGTATCACCAGGTGCTTTGATAAACACGACCATGTGAAGATATAAAGCCTGATCGATATTATGTTCTCCTCTTAGCACCTTCCACGACATCTCTTTGCTTTTATCCAATAAGGCCTCTCTTTAAATTAATGCGTTGTTTCTGCGGTCTGCTCCACCCCACCCCACGTTGTTTGCTTGTTTAGGAATAATGACTAAAGGTCAGGGGTCCTAAAACTGCGGCCGACGAGCCAGATCCGGTTTGTATTTCGTCCCCAACCCTGTCCACCAGGCTGATGTAGAGGTGCCCAGGTAGCCATGAGAAATATGGCACCAGACATGTGTCAAAAGCAGGTGATACTTCCCCTTGAAATACCATACAATTAATTTTTGTTGATTAAAAATTGCTCTTCTATTTAAGTATCAGTTTTTTTTTTCTTTTTTTTTTGTAGTTTATCTGTGTCAGCAGAATAGTTACAAGGATGTCCACAATATAGTGACATCAGCATAGCTCGATGAGGTCAGGCCCCCCCTGACATGAATGATTAATGTTGAATGATTAATGTGCTAATCAGTATTGAGTTGAAAAGACTAAATAAACATACCTAAAAGTAAACGAACTAATCAATTTGGACTTCTAAATTGTAATACACTACTGAGACAATGTTATTATTGGAGCCCCCAAATTTTTTAATGACATTATTTACTTTCACCTCCATAAGTGATAGTCAGACGACCCACCTGTAAAAAAAAAGTGCTGCGGTCGCCCATGTAAACTGACCTGGTATTATGTGAGCAGCAGGTTCTTCAATAACCCACTAATTTGACATTTCATTTCTGTTCAGACCGGCAAAAATCTTTAAGCATCAAAAGCATATAGCACACAATGGACTCAAATACATATTTTGTTGTGAGATGCCCTTTGATGGAAGACCTATGGGGCCCACATTGTCCACATAGTTTTTTACGATACAAAAACACACACACCGATAACTGGTTTGCACTTTGATTTACAGTCGATAGAAACCTTAACAATTTCACCCTAAACATTCCCGGAACCACACAAGGTTTCGTCGTTGACAAATACCTTTAAGGTGTTAACTGCGTGCTTTTAAATTGCGTGGGTTGCAAAAATGTGTTTATTGAGAAGTAAACCAGACAGTGTCCTTGAGGTGGAATTTTCTTTTTTGAAAAAATACAATAATTTGACGATATGTAAGAGCCTTCTGCTATCTTTTTTCAGGCTGAAACATCCAGTGATTATTTCTGAAATTTTCCCCCGGGGATGCACTTCAGATTTTTCGGGGGGGGGGGGGGGGGGGNCATATTTTTGTTCGGGGGGGGGGGGCACTTGGCTTTCCCCGGGGGTCTATGCCCCCCCCCCCGAGATATGACTGACAGAACCCCTGGATACAGCTATGCCTCCCTCGAAACCCTTCAGGATAACGGAAATTTTTGCGAAAGAGCTTGTTCGAAAAAAAAAAAAATTGTTCAACGTAAGTTTGCTTCCTTGTAATAAAATTAAGGAAAGAAAAATTTAAATTTTCTTAAAATTTATACAATTTCCCCCCAAACACCTTTTAACAAATTTCCCTTTTCCATAAACTTTCTTCGAACGAGTTTCCAATGAAAACTAATTTTTTGCATAAAAATTTCCGAATATTTCACTCTTCCTGTATTATCTCATGCCACATTATTTTTTTAAAAGTTACTAATGAAGAAATACTAGTAAAAAAATATATAGATATTAGTTTTCATCTCCTTTAAGTTTGCAGTGTAAAGTAGTAAAATAATAATAAGTATCACATTAAAAAAAAACTAATCACGTTCTCTTTGAGAGATTTTTCTCATAAATGTTTATGATCCGACAGCAGGCAAAATATGTTTACGTTGGAACCACTGTACGACTTTCACAAGCCCACATCCAAAGCACCGAAATGTATCGCGTTAAAAACCTCACACATTTCTGCGTGAAGCCCCGTCTGGAAGCTCTAGCAAGCATCACCCATCATCAGCAGCGGCCCGGTTCATTTGTTTCGGTGGCAGTAGAACACACAACGCGTGGCCATCAGAAACGACCATTCATAACCAGATCCCCTTGCTTTTACCGCCTTTTTTTTTTCATTTATACATCCTGGAACTTCTCGACACTGGAATTAGTCATTTTTGTTTCTTGTTTTCCGTATTCGGACCTATTTCTTGGGACTGCGCCTTGTAAGATTAATTTATTAATAACTGAAAGTATCGATAGTTAATAAGTTATTCTATTTTTTCCACCAGGTGTTTTTATTTTTGTTGTCAAAAAGAGATTTAGATTATCGGCAAACCTGGAATTAAATGTCGGATGTTTTTTTAATTTTTTTAATGGAAAGACCTGGTAATGTATCAAATAAACTGTTAAGGCGGACGATTTGAAGTGTTAGTGAACCCTTCTCTATCTCGCCATGGAGTAAATCGGTCTTCACTTGAGGAGAATATCACAGCAGTGTGTTGTGAATCAGTCTTCAGTTTAGGATAATATCGCAGCTGTGTGTTGTGAATCAGTATTCAGTTTAGGATAATATCACAGCTGTGTGTTGTGAATCAGTCTTCACTTGAGGATAATATCACAGCTGTGTGTTGTGAATCAGTCTTCAGTTTAGGATAACATCACAGCTGTGTTTTGTGAATCAGTCTTCACTTGAGGATAATATCACATCTGTGTGCAGTGTGGGGGCTTGTGGGAAAGTTATTACTAATTGAAGAATTTAGTTATTTACCTGGATTTAACGTGTTCCATATTCTCATTTAATGTGTTTCCCCTTTTCCCTGTTTTAGTTATTTGCCCCGATATAAAGTATCGTGTGCTATACAATAAACAACAGAAGCCTTAGAACCCTAGACGGACTAGTTCCATTGTTTCATCTGTATTTAATTATATTCGCAATGAACGAGATTTCAAGTTTTATTCTGTACTCACGTGTGTTCCAGAATTTCAATATCTTCAGTTGTTGATACCCAGTAAGGTAATTTAGCCAGTAAGGAATGGAGAGGATTCAATGAAGCGTTCTCAACTCGAAATAGGAATTTGGGTTGAACGTTGGCGTCTCCATTCATTTGTTCTATTTCCCAAAATCGCAGTAAACATTTTTTTGTTTTTATAGATTGGCAAGTTGTCCAATCTTGTTTCCTTTGACTTCTTGAAATACCGTGTTAATAAAATTAGAGTGTTGCGGGAAAGTCTGAGAAATTAAAAAAAAAAAAAAAAGAAAAAACAATACAGAAACTAACGAATTTTGTTTTTATAGATTGGCAAGTTGTCCAATCTTGTTTCCTTTGACTTCTTGAAATAACGTGTTAATAAAATTAGAGTGTTGCGGGAAAGTCTGAGAAATTAAAAAAAAAAAAAAAGAAAAAACAATACAGAAACTAACGATGGGGGAGCAGAACATTTCTTCCAACCGCGCGTCTGACAACGAGACGTTGACGATCACCATAGAATTCAAACAGGAGCTCCCCATGATCATCATCTTGATCGCCTTGAACGGCACGGTCTTCCTTCTGTCGCTGGTGGGCAACGTATCCGTGCTGTGCGTCATCATCAAAGACAGGCGCTTCCACTCGGCAACCTACATCCTGGTGGCCAACCTGGCGGCTGCAGATGTCCTTATGTCCGTCGCTTGTCACCCCCTGACGCTGGTTACTAATTTGTTGAACGGTAAGATCAAATGTCAGATTTCTAACTTATTAAAGGATTTTGGGTTAAGAATATTGGTGCTATGATGTTGTCTTTCTTCGTTTCTTTCAAATTTACATAGCTCTTTTCTCGTATTTCTCACTTACAACATTAAATTAACTTGACATATTTTCTGGATTTTTTAAACATTGATTAGCTGCTTATAAATCCGGCCCCTTAAGCCGATTTATCCATACATTTATATTTTGGCTTTTCTAAAAAAAAAAAAGAATACGATTTATTTAAACATACACAGTTGGCTTGATACAAGTGTTAAGAAATACAATTAATATAAAGATTTGGTACTTTAACTCCATACGGTATAAACAATATTCATAATTTTTTACATATCTGCCATGATTTTTTCCTGTATGGTTTTTTAAAGTTTACTTCCACCCACTTCCTTTCTATTCTGAAGAAATGTATATCTTAGTGCCTTGTGCTCATCTACCTTTTGGATTCAGATGCCTACTTATGAGATATTCTAGTATCTCATTTCTTCAAACGGACTAGTGTAACTGATATCAATACAGCAAAAACTGATTATCTTGATATAAGTTATAACGCTATAAGTTTATTATACATCGCCAAAGCCTGACGTAGTAATCTATGCTAACGATCCAATTCGTAAACAAATGGACGTTCTCTTTTAACGATATATCTAGCCGAAATCCTCAACACACAAAAACAAGCTACGCCTTGAATATCCCACAACGGCCATTTCTTTACTATAGGAACAACCAAATTAGCACGTCCTTTCCCCTAACCCAACTACGTCACAACACTCTCACACAATAGATACAGCTACACAGGAAATCTCTAAACTAAACACGTTTTTGCATGCCAAACATAACAACAGTGAGCTATCTCACAGACGCCGCGCAGCAGTTTTTAGTACCGCGCAGCAGTTTTTAGTACCGCGCAGCAGTTTTTAGTACCGCGCAGCAGTTTTTAGTACCGCGCAGCAGTTTTTAGTACCGCGCAGCAAATTTCCATGGAAGCGTGTGTTTGTGTTTGTGGGCTGAAAAATTTTGGCTGTAAAATCTTGCACACCACTGTATGATTTTGCACACGAACCAACAAACCTTAGAGGGAACATTGCCCTTGACCCATTCGTCTGAACTTTGTTTTTGCCAGGGACTTGCGCCCACTCTTATTCTTTTCTCTCCTTTTCTTAGATAGGATACATGAATATATATTAAGTAAAATTAATTCATACTCATATGAATGATTGTTCTTTTTAACGATGAAGTCATTTTCCGAAACGTTTACATTTGTATTCTGTATGATCATGATTAAATAAGAACACGTATTGTTTTATTTGCTGATGTTGTTTGTGTCCAATTAATCTTTTTCTTCTTTAGTTTGAGGGCCCACGATCAATTTATTGATCATTCTGCTGGTAAGCTTTATTGCAGTACAAACACTCTTATAATTAATAAATACAATATTTAAGAACAGTAAGATCACGGTGTGTGCCAGCATGGAGGAATACACGGGGCAAGTTGTATCCTATCGGGTACTTATCATGTCATACATACGGCTTGAACGCAATCCTTAATTTAGCATCCTTTTTGTTTACCTAAGACACATCTATAGCGATCAGCCAAAGAACAACCTAGTAGAACACTTATTGTAAAATACTTATGTTTATCTAAGAAACGTCTGTAGCGATTAGCCAAAGAACGACTTAGTAAACACTTACTGTAACATCCTTATGTTTATCTAAGAAACGTCTGTAGCGATTAGCCAAAGAACGACTTAGTAAACACTTACTGTAACATCCTTATGTTTATCTAAGAAACGTCTGTAGCGATTAGACAAGGAACGACTTAGTACAACAGTTACCTTCATTAAATTATTCAACACATTAAAATAGTACGGAAATTAAATGAGAATATTTAGTGTTTTACTGCCATGATAGATCTTAATGACGGTTGGACGGTATACTCAGTTCTAAGATTGACTCCCCACTTCTAACCTTACACACATAACAAGACCCCAGTTTCTACTGTTTAAGCCAGCGGTTTTCAACCTGTGGTTCGCGACCCCTTTGGAGGGTCGATCGACACTTACACAGTGGTCGGCTAAGACCATCGGAAAACACGTATTTATAAAGAAGGGTCGAAAATAATTTTATCTTTGGGAGACGTAACAACATGAGGACTGAATTAAAGACCCATTAACGTGTCGCGGCATGAGGAAGGTTCAGAACCACCCTTTCAAGCATCCACTCTCAATGTAGCTCGCATGTAAAGGATTCAAGCAATTTTTTTAAAAATTCTCATAAATTTCACAATTAATGAATAAATGGCTAGACTACAGTATCCAGACCAAAACGGATCACATTGGAATAGCTTGTGAAACTGTTCAAAACATAAACGACCACTCATAGTTCTTACTTAAGTTATCGGAATAAGAGGAAAACTAAAAACTTTATTCCCTTAAAACATGACCAGTTACAACAAAGAAATCTAGTATCTTCGTAAAGAAAAAGAATTAAACTTTAAAAAATAATAATTAAACTTCCATTATAGAGACTATGAATGTCTTATTTCTTATGGGTTGAAAAAAAAATAATTAATTAACAGTAATATTACACAGTACTCGAGTGATGCGTGAATAGCGCGCGTTTAAATCCACCGAGCGAATGAGACATATTTTATTTGTCACTCTAGTCACAATGAGGTGGCTTCTTGTCACGCGATCCACCAAATTAAAACATGAATCTGTGCCGAGGGCCTTCAAACGTTTGACCGCTTGTTCAGAATTTATTTGTTTTTCATTTTCTTGGATGAGTTTTTGCCGCGGCACACCTAACCTCTAGTGTTTCTTTCAGACGATTTCCCTCGGGAGGTGAAGCATTTCAGGTTTTCGGGTGGTCAGCGGTCAGTGACAGAGGCATAGCTAAGGGGTTGCAGAGGGGGGGCAGATGTCTCCAGATGCCAGATTATCAGGGGTGCCAACAAGATTTTGGAGGTGTTTAATGGTTGAAATGATGAGTTTCAGACTTGACGAAGGGAAGGGCGTAGAAATGAATATAGTCACCTGGCACTAAACACTCTAGCTGCGCATCTGTTAGTGGCATAGAAAGGGGGGTTGCAGATTGGTGGTCACGAATGTGTAACTTTTTTCTTTATATTTGGGGTGGGGGGTTGGTGGTGGTGGCATTTTCAGACAACGGGAGAGTTTGTATCGTAGTAGGGAGCTCGGCGATAATCCGAAGGTGGGACTAACACTAGCTACGCCACTGGGCAGTGTATCTCTTGGTACGAAAATTGGCGACCTGAGTCAGCTGTCATTTGTATCGTGAAATAGGGGCAGAAAGCGACAGCTCTGATTTCTCTTGAGTGGAAGTTAGAGGTCTGAGAAGGTCTGGACACTCTCAATTTAGTTTTTTTGTTAATGATAAATCAAGTGTTGCAATTTGGAATAAACCTGAATTCAGTCTTTCCATTAGATTATTTGATGGGGGATTCATCAAGCGTCGGGAAAGGGGGGTGGGGCATTATATTGCAACCATTGCTATACCTTAAATGCATTCAATCCGGTTGTGGCACATGCAAAGGGGATTCGTTTTGATCTTGCTTAGGATTTAACTCCGTACTGTCACATTGATTTGCATGAGGAACAAAAAGGAAAAAAAAATGGGGGGGGGGGTGTTTGATGGTTCCGAAGACTCTCGAGCAAAAGCGATAGCTAGAGTACCCTTATAAAATAGTGGATAAATTCAAAATTTGGGGATGTGTTTTGCGCATGCTTATAATGGGGGTTTCTTTAAGACAATTAGCGAGGGTTCATTTCAGACATTCTTGTGGGAAGCATCAAAACTAGTCATAATAAGGAACGGCGGACATCTCTTTCTCCACCCCAGCGTCAAATAAACTCAATTCATTCCTGTTGTGGCACACTTGAGGGTAGGATTTCTTTTGCCCTTGCTAATTATCGCCCCCTAAAACTTTATAGTCCCAAGAAATATTTTGACAAACTCAAAATCCATTTTATCAAACACCTGAATTTAGCCTTCCTTCATTCTACACTTAACCAGAGAGCAACGGGAAAGATGCTAATTTAAAAATATGGGTGTCACTTCACTTCAGACCAAAACGTTTGGGCACTGCAAGCACTGCGACTGCAAGGGGGCTCGGATCATTTAGGACTTATAGATGTGCATTGGGCATTTATTTATTAATTATCAACTTTGAATGCGATGTTAAGGGTTGGGGCGGGGGGGGGGGGGGGGGGGGGGGGGGGGGGGGGGGGGGGGGGGGAGGGGGGACCAACCAGTTACAGGAGGCCACGAAACGTCTAACTCTACGTGACCTGCTTGTGTTATAGAAATATTGTTTTGATTATTACTAAATAGTTATGTGTTTTCTTTTAATTTTTAGTTTAACTATGTAATGGGTAAACTACATAATTAGTAAATGCATTTTAAAAATTAAATAAAAATAAATTTAAAAAATTATTCTATAAAATTCTATGAAATTTTACAATGGAAATTTTTATAAATCGTATTTGAATGGCATAATTATATTAAGAAGCCATGAGATGTTAACAAAAGACATCATATATTTATAAATGTGTGATTTTATCTGAGGGAGTTCCTTTAAAAAAATATCATTATCAATAATAAGTTAATTGTGTACTGGATTCTCATCAAACTTAATTTGTTTAAATATATTTATTCAAATATGTAAGGGAGATTGTTTATTATCCTGATACTAATATGAGAAAAGCAGTATGGGAATTTAATAAGTATAGGCTAATTTAAAAAAAAACCCTGTCGTTACAGCACCTTTAAAGAAGACACAAATGCTTTTGTTTTCATAACAAGGGATGAAACGTGCACTATTAGTGTTCACCTGATAAAGTCTGTACTTTTTAAATAAAATAAGTATCAATTCTTTTTCAACTTTTCATATTACCTAGATCAACATACATATACTAGAGTATATATTCAAAATTATGTTAATAACTTTCGTTTTTAAAGCAGGCATTTCAAATTCTATAATAATCATTTATATATATATATATATATATATAT